CTTTCTGTCTCTATGTCTCTCTCTGTCTGTCTGGCGAGTGCACACGCCCTATAGCAAAAAACCTCCCCCCCCCCCAAAAAAAAAAGGAAAGAAAAAAGAAAAAAAAACAATAACAAATGGAAATAAATACATAAATAATTCTTTAAAAAAAAAGAATCACAGAGATAATTTTGATTACTGCTTTGGAGATGAAAGATATTGTCTTGGTACTTTTTGGGTTTTTTGTTTTTTGTTTTTGTTTTGCTTTCTTTATGTTTGTTTGTTTTTGTTTTTTTGTTTTTTGGGGTTTTTTTGCACATACTCTTTCTTTAATGCCATTTTCCAAAGTTCCCTCGTAGAAAACTTTGTTTCAGAATCAAAATTTTTTCCATCCTATTTTCTCATTAGATTTTGTAGGAACTGATGGGGAAATAAGGTAGACACCAAAGAAGACAAAAAGGGTAGAAAGTAAAGGTAGGATAGAAGGAGAAACTAATTCAACAGACCAAACTGGTTTTAAAATGTTCTTTTTATTTTCTTTCCTTCCTTCCCACCTCCTTCCCCTGTGAGTGTTGGGGCCACAGGACAGGGGGAGCTGTTTTTTAAACAGGGACTTGCTGTGTCATGATCCTCTTGCTTAGCTTCCCCAAGTAGCTGGTTCAAACCACTATCATTCCCAGCTCTTTGGGTTAGACCAAGAACTGAACCCAGGGCTCCCATGTAGCTTCAGCCTGTTAAGCATCCAGAGTGGGCCTCTTTTCTCTCAAATGTGTTTTAGACTAAGGTTTTATAGGCTACATATTTGTTTTTCATCTAAGCAGATTTTTACAGAATAGACAGATAATAACTTGCCACATTAAAGTCTTCTGAAATTGTTTATTTGTGGTGTTTGGTGTGTTACAGGCTCTGTTAGCAGAGAGAACTCTTCTACTATTATAGTCTCTGCTGATTAATGGGAGTGCTCTGTAATTTTTGGTATTGTTATTTGTGTTTCTGGTCATTATCTGACACAGTTGACTTTTCTCTCAATTTCCTAAAATGTAGAGACTCTACTCTTCATTTTTATTTATTTGTCACCTTTCTCCATTTATGACTTGTAATTTTATTTTATAGTATATATTTCTAGTTTGAAAGTTTGACTCCAGAGAGTTACAGTGTATCTCAGAGCACATATTGCATTATTTTGCAAGGTAACCCATAGCTGTTCATTTTACAAAATGTCTATATTTCAGATGGAACAACTATCAGATGAAGAAATTGACCATGGTGCTGAAGAAGACAGTGACAAGGAAGATCAGGACCTGGACAAAATGTTTGGAGCCTGGCTTGGAGAACTAGACAAACTCACTCAGGTTAGAAGTAGTGTTTGACAAATGTCCACAAACGGGTGAATGGATTGAAAAAGTGTGACACATATACTCTATGGAATACTATTCAGTCATAAGAAAACAGCAAGACCATGGATTTTGATAGAAAGTGGACAAATGTGGAAGATTTGTTGCTGAGTGAAGCAAGTCAGGCTATGAAAGAGACATTGTATGTCTCCCCTTACCATATACTGACTGTCTGGGACCAGTAGTTAGCATAATGGCTATGTCACTGGATTCCCATGTAGTCGACCATGGTTTGAGTCCTGGACCAGGTGGCTTAAACGCATGCCAGGTGCGTGTGTGTGTGCCCAAGATCCTGAGAGGAGAATGGAGGAGAAGAGATTGCGGCATGGCCATCCCCCCTGGGGGATGATTTCTCACTTTCTGTCTGTCTCTCTCTCTGTCTTTCTGGCAAGCGCATGCGCCCTATAGCAAAAACCTCACCAAAGAGACAAAAAACATATACCGACTGTCAGCACTCTATGCCAGAGACTGAAAGACTGGAGGACAAACAAGCACTAAAAATTGTTAGGGACACCAGTGCCAAAG